GTGAGAAAAAATGAGCCTCACCTTGCCAAAGAATAAACTTCTTCTGCTGGTTGCGGTCGAGCTACGCACACGTCTCGTGCCAAGCACACCAATGTCGTCCTGCACCGGTGTCGACGGTGAATCCTCGGAACATGATGGTTCGTCTAGCGGAATGCTGGAAAAGAAATGTGTTCGCGAGTCCTCAGCTATTAGATGTGGTTGTGAAAGAATTGGTGCTCTGAAGAAAGAACATCCATGTCCTTTTAAAATTTAATATGGAATTCGCATTTTTCAAAGAAGCTGCGGGTGATAATTGGAGGAGGAGGAGGAGGGGAAGGAAGAGGAGGCAACTGAGGATCGGAGGGACAGATACGGCTGCATTCGGCGTTCCGGAGCATATTAATATGTTAACAACATAGGAGGTACCCACAATGATAGTCCGGGCAGTCATGGCGTTTTTGGTTTTCTAAGCAGTAAGTTTGAGGTATCTGTAATACTAAATCAGTGAAAACCTTGCTTTGAGGGCAAAGAAGGTAGCACTACAAGCGCACTTCCCTCTCCTTTCAGCCTCCCTTCACTCTTCTTCTTAATTCGCCTCTTTTCTCAAAAACCACCACATAAATACAAAAATTTCAGCAAATATGGCGGATCAGATTTGAAACACAAATTTCTGAGGACAAATAAAACAGCGTATAATGTTTTTTTTAGGGACAGGGAAGAAAGGAGGTAGGCAAAGGTAGAGGAAATAAGACACTTATCTGTCTAATTAACAGATGTAATTAAATTCAAAATAAACTAATAAAAATTTATTACTCAACCCCAAAAACCAAAAACTAAACGGGGCAAATGAGCACTCAAAACGTTAATATTATGTTTCCCTGAATTATCCTAAACGCGTCCGATGACCCAAAAACTCATGTACGAGAAAAAAGTCATGATACCACAGCTAGGTTCTGGATTATTATTTTCAAAAATTTAAAACTAAACAAAGCTCATACACTGTCAAGAGTATCTGTTTTAGACATGTATGCGCAAATGCACATTCACAGGCAGCAAACTAAAAAAATTGACTGGTTTAAGGACATGCAATTTAACCGAATCTCATCCCAACCGCGGGTCTTAATCTCTGACTATTCATCACTGCTGACAGTACTGCACTCTTCGGCAAGAGTAAAAGACACATTTTAAGCATAGGTCCTACCAAAGTGTTGGTTTTTTCCCAATTTTAGTTTATTTGAGCTACTTTACATCACTAAGATAAATTTCTGGATTTACTTTAAGCATTCTTTTCCTACTCCATCAGAACAGTATTTCCGAGGTCTCCCAGTGATCCAGTAGGCTTCGATAAAACATCACATTGCTTTATTCCAGAATTTTGAAAAAAAAAAAGATTCATAAGAAGAGGAAAAATTATGAACAGAAGGGAAGGAGTGAAAAAACTGGGGCGAATGAACAAGATGCCCTCCGGCGCAACCCTGAGGAACAATTTGTTTCTTTTTAATTTTTACGATTTTCATATTGTCAAATTGCTTTGATAATCGGTTCAGTACTTCCTCGCTTTTGCTTCAGCCGACACTGCACATCCCGCAAAATACTGGGATAAATGGCATCAAAATTTTATTGTATTTTTTGAAAAGTTTAAAAAAGCTGCATACATTTATTTAATACAACTCTCGGAATAAGGAGCTGCTGACAGCTTTGCTAGCGGGATAAAGTGCTATTATCGCATAGGCTACTTTCGGGCGTTTCTGCCTCTCAAGTATATTACGTGAAGGAGGTTTGACTTATGTGGCGCTATTTCCGGATTGATTTACTTTTCGCGAAAGTTAAGGAGAAGTTCGTCGGTCTACCGGGTGAGAAGGAATGAAAAAGAGGACCCACTAAGAGGCGCAAAATACCGCGCGGTAAAATGAAGATTTGCTGAACGAGGAAATTCAACTCAATAAATTCAAACACATCGGACTGCATTTTGCCAAGAAAGGGTGAGTCAAATTAAGATATTATAAAATAAAGAATAAATAATGCACTTTTTTTGAAGGGGAGAGAGAGGAAAGGGAATGACGCAGCAAAGAAAAATTCCGAATCGTAGAAGGAGAGGAGACTGAAATATTTTCCAGTTACTAGCAAGTAGCTTTATAACAAAAAATTGGAATTACTGGGAGAAATCTTGAAAATTACATTATTTTCAAAAAAGAAAAAAGAAATTTTAGAAAACCATTCTGTGCAGAATTAACACCTGGCCAGTGACGCACATAGGTCGCTTCCTTATGAGCACCTTCTACTTCAAAAATATTTTAAAATCCCAATGTATAATCATCAGCAAATACTTTCCCTTCCCAACAATCTATCATTATTTGTTCTTCTCCCTCTGCCTTTTCCTCATCTCGCTCGACTTTTTTCTTTCACCAAGTTTGGTGTTTTTTTTTTCAAAACCCTGAAGCCCAAACGGAATTGTCCACCAGTTCTGGTGTTTTTCCCAGAACCCTGAAGCCCAAACGGAACTATCCACCAGTACTGGTGTTTTTTCCAAAACCCTGAACCCCGAACAGAATTGTTTAAATTTTTAATTTTACTTCCATTTGGCTTAGTTATTTTTTTTCCTACCACTTATAAGTTTAGCCTCATCTTTTGCACTAACTTGTAATTTCCCTCTACAACAAGCTTACTTCACAATACTTTTAATTAAATTCGTTTCTTAAATAATATCATGGATGCACATTGCAATAACTGCTCTTACGATAGAAACGCCCCGCCAGAAATTGCAACAAAATACGTGTCAAGGTCACCAGTGGTGTCCACTCAGTCCAGAGTGTTCGTTTGAACATCCACAAAAATTTTCTTGTTTTCTGATACTAAAATGCATGTGTGTGTGTCGTATTCTCGCTTTTTTGTGCACTTTTATACGTTTTTATGCGTTTTTGCATATATGTAAATTGCAAAACGCATATTGGGAAGGGGCTGTCTGTGTGTGTGTGTGGCTGTGTGTCCGCACTTTTTGTCACCCACTTTCAGCTCGAGACGCAGAAAAGCTAGAAGGCTGAAACTTTGGGGATACGTGCCTATACCATGCGCGACCCTCCCTTTTTAATTTCATCCTCCGCGGACGACTGGGTGCCGCGTACGGACGCTTTAAAAAATATGCAAATTTTTTGGCGGGAAAGCTATCTCGGGAACCACACGAGCTAAGGAGCTGAAACTTTGTCAGAATATTCCCTGTGCATGTACTAGCTAAAGATTTCAAACTCAGCTCTCAGGTGTGCGTGGTGCTCATGTAAGAGCGTATGAAAGTTCTAGAGGGAAAATTCCTAACTCGGGTAGTTGGAAAGCTAGAAAGCTGAAACTTTGGGGGAATGTTTCCTATCCAAGCACTACCTAAATATTTCAAATTCAGCCCCAAACTTTGCGTTGTACTCACGTAAGGGCACATAGAAGTTTCTGCACCAAAATTACTAATTCGGCAACCAGAAGAGCTGGAAGGCTAAAATTTTAAGGTGATATTCTCTGTCCAGGTGCAATTTAAAAATTTCAAATTCAGCTTTCCAGACACGTGGAATACCCACGTACGGGTATGCGAA